GGGCGCCGCGGCCAGTGGCCCGGGGGTCGCGCCCACGCCGCCGGCCCTCCGCGGCGGGGAGCGGGGCGCCGAGAGGCACCCCGGCCCGCTCCCCGCCCCCACGAGGGCAGGAAGCCCCGCGCCCAGAGGGCCGACCGGGGCTGAGCCCCCAAGCACACCCAAAAAGGCCCCTCGAAACTTAAACCCTTCGCCATTTTAGGAAGATTTGAATGACTGAAAACCAAACATTTTCCCCAACACCAGCCGCAAGTGGGGTTGATGTACTGCCCCTCCCGACACACCCACTCGGACCCCCGGAGATCCGACCCTCGGGAGAGAGGGTCCCTGGGGAAGGGGAGGGGGCTGAGTCATCTCACCTCCTCCGGGGCTTTGTTCCTTAACTCCAGGTTAATCCTCTTCTTCATCTCCATGTCCTCCACCTCCTCTTCTGCCACTAGTCTACTCCCTTCCTCTTTCCTGCCTTGCCCCACCGCCCCCAACCCGACAATTTCAAAAGCCTTGAAAATGAATGAAAAGAGTCGCAAATAGGACGCCCACCACCACCAGATAGGTGTTGGGGGGTGGGTAGAGAACAGCAAATGGAGACCAAGGAGTTGGTACTCTAACTCGCTGCCCCCACCTCCTTGTCCACACACTCGGGCGCGCGCGCGCGCACACACTCACATACACGCACTCACACACACACACCCGCAGTTCCTTCCCCTTCAATGGCTGCTCAGAGACTGAGACTCCATGACAAGGCACCGCCAACCCCCTGGCCTACACTCCACCCACCTCCCGAACGTATTGGTTGCTTCTTCAGCATCACACTATGCCATTGGTCAATGTGACTGCCTATCAGTCCTGAGGGCGGGCCTAGACTACAAACTCTGTATCTATTGGCTGCGACTAAGCGCGCAGTTAACTCCGATAGGCCCAGAAGCGTGTCCGTCCCCGGGAAATGATTTTGAATCCCAGCAGCCCCCCTCCTTCTCTTTGTGTACTTGGCGCGCTTTCCCGGGGCGCTCCGACGGTTTGAAGCTCGTTGGGTTTTCCCCCCCCTCCTGTTTCTAGTGTAAAAGGGAAGAAGAATACTATTCCGAGCTGTGAGACCGATCATCCACCCCACACGCGCCGTCTCTGGGCCTTTTTTTAAAGCACAGGCCCCGCTTGGCGGCCAAAGTGTGCACAACAACGTGCACGTCACAAAAGCGAGCCTTCGTGGCAGCACCCTGCTGGGGACAGGTTTCTGTGGCGTGGAAGCAGACAGAATCTAGATGCTGTTTCAAATTCTATCATGTAAGGACAGCCTGGTTTTGAAGGCGGTAATTGTTACAGAGGTCATTGTTGCTGTAATCAAACTTAGGACCTTGGAGTGAAGAACGCTGGCCTAAAGAAACTCAAACGTTAGTTCGCGCAGAAATGGCTCAGCAATGCCTCTCTAATTTAGTTTTGGTTGGTTTCCATGGAAATCTGCCGGTAAGAAGTGCTTTTTGAAAGTGTATGTGGTATGTAAAAGAGTGGGATCATGTTTTTTGTTTGTTTAAACGTCTGCTTGGTTCTTCTCGTCCTCATTCATTTACACCCTTTTCCAGGAGTAATGCCCAAAGAAATTTCAGATGATCTGGGGAGGGAAGTGATGAGTTCTCTCCAGGTCTTCAGATCAGAGTTTTTATTTGCTTTTTTTTTTTCCTCTCAGTTTCTCAGGTTAGAGATTAGGGCTTTACACCCACATAGACCTCCCACTGCTTCACCAAAAAGCCTCCCCCTCCCCCTTCCCTTCACAAATAGCCTTACATTCAAAATGTAAATACTTACTGTTTGACCTGGTAAATACTTTAAAGGGAAAACAAAATAGTGATTGCCTTTTTAATAAGTATTTCCTTTGAAGTCCCTGAAAAGGGAGTTTTGTAAAGGTGAAAACAAAGGCTTTGTATGAAGAGGGAGTGATGGAAGCCTTTTTGGTATAAAATGACATCTCTGGGGACCATTTAGAGAGTAAAGTTTTATGTTTGCTTGTTTGTTTTAATGTAGGCAAAAGGTAGTCCAAATGATATAGGGGGAAGGGGTTAAAAGAAACTTGGGATTTTTAATTTTTAAAAAAAACTTGGAAGCACTTTTTTTAAAAATCATTTTACTGGGGGATCATACAACTCTTATCACAACCTCCATACATCATGTGTCAAGCACATTTGTACATTTGTTGCCATCATCATTCTCATTTGCTTTCTACTTGAACCCTTGGTATCAGCTCAGTTTTCCCCCTCCCTCCCCAACACCCCACATTAACCCTTGATAATTTATAAATTATTATTATTTTGTCATGTCTTACACTGTCCGACATCTCCCTTCACCCACTTTTCTGTTGTCCGTCCCCCAGGGAGGGGGTTATA